CAGGTTCGGGTTCAAGGTTCACAAGCCAGTGCTTGCTACTGTGGGGTTTGGGAGGTGATTTCAGAGTCGACTAAAAACTCACCTGTTATCAGGCTCAGGGGTAAAGATTCACTGTCCCCACCGATTCGTTTCTTTTTTCCTTCCCCATGTCCTCTTTGTGTGTGCAGATCCGAGAAAGAAGAAAGTCCAGCCCCCCGTTTCCAACATGCAGAACTCTCGCACCCTCCTCGCCCTGCGCACTGTTGCGGGGCAGCAGGCGTGGGGAGAGAGGGTGCAGAAAAGAGGGGGAACGGCGCATGGACGAGACGGACGGTTCCAGTCTTCAGCATCCAAAAAGGCTGCTTCTGCTTCAGGAGTTGCAGGCGATGCTGCAGGTGTTGATGGTGGTGATGGTGATGGGCTAGCGGAGGGGAGACGCAAGAGCGGTGGGGCTAAGATCGCCCGTCGCTCTGACCGTCCCTCTTCTGCTGGTGCTGCTGCTGTTGCTGTTGGTGATACTGTCGCTCCTTCTCCCAGTCCCTTGAAACAGCAGGAGGAGCAGCAGAAGGGGCAGCAGTTGCAGCAGCTGGAAGGGGAGGGAGAGAAAGAGGGGCAACAGAATCGCAGGAAGAATGCAACCCCAAAAAGAGGAGGAGTCGCCACAGCTTCTGGTAATGCTTCTGGTGCTGCTGCTGGTGGTTCTGGTGCTGGTTCTGCTCGTCTTCGCTCCGCTCCTGCTGCTGCTGCTGATGCAGCAGCAGCAGCAGCAGCAGCAGCTGCATCAACTGCACCCAACACGACTCTCCCGCCCTTCCGGTTCACATCCAATCAAGAGTGGCGGCATTTGGATTACGGCAACGATCTCACCGCCCTCACCGCAGACGGGCGGCGCGGCCGGAGTGCCGCCCGCACGCTGGGCTTCCGGGGCGGCTGCATTCGTCTGCCAGCGGTGCACCGGCAGATGCTGAGGCGGCTTTTAAGGAGGATGATGTTCCGAGGGGAGGTGGAGCAGGCAGCAGGCGTGCTGGCGGCTCTGATGGATGCGGATAAGGACGCTGAAGTCACAAGACGGGCTGTGGATGAACCAATATGGCTCGAGTCTCAGGTAAGGAGAAACCCCTTGCATTGATCACAGGACGGTAGGGCGTGGAGCAGGCAGCAGGGGTGCTGGCCGCGTTGATGGATGCGGATAAGGATGCTGAGGTGACCAGGAGGGCTGTTGACGAACCCATTTGGCTGGATGGAATCCCAGGTAAGGGAAAACCAGAGTCCCAAGCCCCAAACCAGAGGCTTGAGTTCAGGTCACTAGCACCAGGTGAGGGAAAGGCAGGAGGTGCAGCAGGCGGCAGGCGTGCTGGCGGCTCTGATGGATGCGGGTAAGGATGCTGAGGTGACTCGGAGCGCTGTACATGAACAGATATGGCTGGAATCCCAGGTAAGGAGGAGCCATCCTGAGCTGGAAACTCTGGTTTGAAGTATGCACCTTGAATCATGTTCGAAGGGCTGCAGTGGTTGACTGGACGCTTAAGCAAAGGAACAACAGTGAAAAAATCAAGTGAAAAAAACGCAGATCTGAAAAACCCTTCGCTTCCGAAAAGCCTCCTGAGCTGGAAACACTGGTATGAAGTATGCATGCACATAGACGACTTTTGAGGCGCCTCAAAAGTAAACTCTGGTATGAAGTATGCATGCACATAGACGACTTTTGAGGCGCCTCAAAAGTAAACTCTGGTATGAAGTATGCATGCACATAGCAGGCGTGCTGGCAGCACTGGTGCTGCTGCGATAGTTCTGGCGCAAGGGCTTCAGCAGCTGCAGGGACAGTGCTGCATGTGGGAGGGCAGTCCTGATACTTTTGCCTGTCTGCCTTCCTCTTTTCTTTGATTCCCTCCCCCAGCAAGCGCTCGTTCTGCTGCGAGAGCTGTGGCGCAAGGGCTTCAGCAGCAGAGGCAGTGGGAGCGTTGGTGGTGGTGCTGCTGCTGCTGGTGGTGGTGGTGGCAGCAGCAGCAGCAGCAGTGAGCGGCGGAGGGCAGAGAGGAGGCGACTGGTGGTGTTCATGCGAGCGATAGCTCTCAAGCAAGAGGACGATGTGAGTGGTGATGGGGGGAATATGGCTGCTGGTGCGTATGGGTAGTGTATTATTATGATGATCACGGCTCGGAGAGGAGGCGACTGGTGGTGTTCATGCGGGCGGGCGATAGCTCTGAAGCAAGAGGATGACGTGAGTGAAAGAAGCACTGAGCAGGGCTGTGGTGTGTGGGATGGTGTCAGAGTGAAGGGGGAGTAGGCGTGGTGTGCGCGGGTCCTGCAGTGAGAGGAGGCGACTGGTGGTGTTCATGCAGGCGGGCGATAGCTCTCAAGCAAGAGGATGACGTGAGTGCACGGGGCAGGGGCAGTGGAGAGAGTGTGAGTGGTGGAGATTTGTGGTTTCTTCTGTGAAGGGATAGATGGTTTGTGTTCATGCAAGCGATAGCTCTCAAGCAAGAGTATGACGTGAGTGGTGACAGGGGGAGGGTTGGTGCGGTGTGCGTGGGTGGAAGTTATAGGATGAATATTGCTTTGAGAGGAGAAGATGGGTGGTGTTCATGCAAGCGAAAGCTCTCAAGAAGGAGGTGAAGAAGAAGGAGGGAAGTAGGTGGTGTGTGTGGGTGGTAGGGATGAGCAAGGTGGCGAACACCTGTTCGGTTCGCCTCGAACGTGTTCGAGGCGAACCGAACAGGTATTTTTTTTTGGCTTAAAATGTTCGCCGAACAGTGTTCGATGTTCGCCCGAACACGTTCGTGTTCGGGCCGCCGCTGCAATTTGCCCGTGACGAACACGAACACTGTTCGAGGTTCGCCCGAACACGCCTTCACAGGCGAACGGCGAACACCATTTTTTTGCTCAAAGTGTTCGCCGAACCGAACTGTGTTCGGTTCGGGAAAAGATGATGTTCGAGCGAACTCGAACCCAACGTGTTCGAGTTCGCCATTTGCTCATCCCTAGTGGGTGGTGTAAGAGAGGTGATGCGTGCAATTATGAGGAGCTGGGTTGTGGTTTGAAGGGGGAAAGCTTGGTTCTGATATAAGGTCCAGGTAGGTACCACTCTCTCAACCTCCCTCTCAATTCACCTTCGTCAACCTCCCTATCACATGCCATTTCCAACGCTCCCCCTTGCCCTCTCAACCTCCCTCAGAGGCGCAAGTGCCAGATGAAGGAGACAAACGAATTCGCTTTCATGCTACCTTGCTGTCAACCTTCCTCAACCTCCTTGCACCTCCCTCAACTTCCCTCAACTTCCCTCGACTTCCCTCGACTTCCCTCAACTTCCCTCAACTACCCTCAACTTCCCTCAACTTCCCTCAACTTCCCTCAACTACCCTCAACTTCCCTCAACTTCCCTCAACTTCCCTCAACTTCCCTCAACTTCCCTCAACTTCCCTCAACTTCCCTCAACTTCCCTCGACTTCCCTCAACTTCCCTCGACTTCCCTCGACTTCCCTCGACTTCCCTCAACTTCCCTCAACTTCCCTCAACTTCCCTCAACTTCCCTCAACTTCCCTCGACTTCCCTCAACTTCCCTCAACTTCCCTCAACTTCCCTTGACTTCCCTCGACTTCCCTCAACTTCCCTCAACTTCCCTCAACTTCCCTTGACTTCCCTCAACTTCCCTCGACTTCCCTCACTCCCTCAACTTCCCTCAACTTCCCTCAACTTCCCTCCACTTCCCTCAACTTCCCTCCACTTCCCTCGACTTCCCTCAACTTCCCTCAACTTCCCTCGACTTCCCTCAACTTCCCTCGACTTCCCTCAACTTCCCTCAACTTCCCTCGACTTCCCTCAACTTCCCTCGACTTCCCTCAACTTCCCTCCACTTCCCTCGACTTCCCTCGACTTCCCTCAACTTCCCTCGACTTCCCTCGACTTCCCTCGACTTCCCTCAACTTCCCTCAACTTCCCTCAACTTCCCTCGACTTCCCTCAACTTCCCTCAACTTCCCTCAACTTCCCTCGACTTCCCTCGACTTCCCTCAACTTTCCTCAACTTCCCTCGACTTCCCTCGACTTCCCTCGACTTCCCTCAACTTCCCTCGACTTCCCTCGACTTCCCTCAACTTCCCTCAACTTCCCTCAACTTCCCTCAACTTCCCTCCACTTCCCTCCACTTCCCTCAACTTCCCTCAACTTCCCTCAACTTCCCTCAACTTCCCTCAACTTCCCTCAACTTCCCTCAACTTCCCTCCACTTCCCTCAACTTCCCTCAACTTCCCTCCACTTCCCTCAACTTCCCTCAACTTCCCTCAACTTCCCTCAACTTCCCTCGACTTCCCTCGACTTCCCTCGACTTCCCTCAACTTCCCTCGACTTCCCTCGACTTCCCTCGACTTCCCTCAACTTCCCTCGACTTCCCTCGACTTCCCTCGACTTCCCTCGACTTCCCTCAACTTCCCTCAACTTCCCTCGACTTCCCTCAACTTCCCTCAACTTCCCTCGACTTCCCTCAACTTCCCTCAACTTCCCTCGACTTCCCTCAACTTCCCTCAACTTTCCTCAACTTCCCTCAACTTCCCTCAACTTTCCTCCACTTCCCTCGACTTCCCTCGACTTCCCTCAACTTCCCTCCACTTCCCTCGACTTCCCTCAACTTCCCTCAACTTCCCTCGACTTCCCTCGACTTCCCTCGACTTCCCTCAACTTCCCTCAACTTCCCTCGACTTCCCTCAACTTCCCTCGACTTCCCTCAACTTCCCTCAACTTCCCTCGACTTCCCTCAACTTCCCTCCACTTCCCTCGACTTCCCTCAACTTCCCTCCACTTCCCTCGACTTCCCTCAACTTCCCTCGACTTCCCTCAACTTCCCTCAACTTCCCTCAACTTCCCTCGACTTCCCTCAACTTCCCTCGACTTCCCTCAACTTCCCTCAACTTCCCTCGACTTCCCTCAACTTCCCTCAACCTTCCTTACCTCCCTACCACATGCCGTACCGTTTTCCCCGATCAAACGGGCAAGGGGCAGGTGCTGCTGGACCTAGCCAAGTGTCAGATGGAGACTAACGAGTTCGTGCTCATGCTGGCCTCCCCTCGAACCTCCCTCCACCTTACTCAACCACTCCACAACCCCTCCCTGTTCTCGCACATCTCAAACGCGCAAGCGGCAGGTGCTGCTGGACCTAGCCAAGTGTCACAAGGAGACCAACGAGTTTGTGTCGGTGCTGCCTTACCCTCAACCTCTCTCAACCTCCGTTCCTACCATTCGTCACACAAAGAAGACGAACTCCCTTTCCCTCCAACCTCGCTCAACCTCACTCCACCACTCCACAACCCCTTTCTGCTCCGGGCAGATGCTGTAGAGTGCCACATGGAGACCAATGTGTTTGTTTCAGTGCTCCCTCAACCTCCCTCAACCTCCCTCAACCTCCCTCAACCTCCCCCAACCTCGCTCAACCTCGCTCGCTACCACGTGTCATGCCTTTCCCTCTCCCACACCTCAGAGGCGCAAGGGGCAGATGCTGCTAGATCCAGCCAAGTGCCACATGGGCACCAGCGAGTTCGATGCTGCCTTCCCTTCGAACCTCCCTCAACCTCACTCAACCACTCCATAACCCATCCATGTTCCCCGTATCAGATGCGCAAGGAGCACATGCTGCTGGATCTAGCCAAGTGCCAGATGGAGACCAGCGAGTTCGATGCTGCCTTTTCCTCAAACCACTCTCAACCACTCCACAACCCCCCCCTCCCTTTCTTATCAGAGGCGCAAGGAGCAGATGCTGCTGGACCTCGCCAAGTGCCAGATGGAGACCAGCGAGTTCGATGCTGCGTTCCAATCAACCTCTCTCAACCTCCCTCAACCTCTCTCCTTACCACGTGCCATACTCCTTGTTCCCCCCCTATCAGAGGCGCAAGGGGCAGATGCTACTAGACCTAGCCAAGTGCCAAATGGAGACCAACGAGTTCGACGCTGCCTTCCAAACGCTGCAAACGTGAGCTCCCTTCCATTTCCAAGGTGCTTATACAAATCCTCGAAAACCCTGTGTTAGGAGATGATTCGGGATTTGGTTAGGGGAATATGGATGCTATGCTGGTGGGACCGGAGGCCCTGGTCTGGTCAGTCCGTCCCTTCCTCTCGATCTTCAGACATAATTCTGAGGGAGCAGCAGTCTGGTGCTAGGGGAATAGTACTCGCTGTGTCTTACAACCTCTGGGCCTCGCTGTGTTACGGGAATATGGATGCTATGCTGGGATGGGACCGGAGGCCCTGGTCTGGTCAGTCCTTCCCTTTAATAGTGCTCCCCTCCCCCGTCCCCCACTCCCTCTGTCTGTGCAGTGTGGTGTGGTGAACCTAGAGGTAACCCTTCCCTCAACTTTAACATTTTTAGTGTAGTTTGCAGTTTGTGCGGGTTGGGTATTACCAACATCCCAACCAACCTCACCCAAATGTGATCAACCGAAATCTCCAACCCACCAATTGGAGATTTCACCCGGTCTCATTGGGGTTGGAATTGCCCCCGATTTGCCACCCATCCATCTCTTGTCCATTTCCGATGTACTTAAGTTAAGGGACTTGATCTCATGAATCATGACCTGCACTCCCACTGGCTCTCCCGTTCTTGCTTCCCTGCCACTCCCCCTGTCCGTGCAGGGTGGTCAACCTCCCCCCCTATCGCTCCGACCCCTCTCCTCTCCTCTTCTGCGCGCTCATCCAGTACTCCCACTGGCTCTCTGCCGCCAGAAGGACCTCCTGCAGCTGCCCTCCACCTCGCATACCCACCACGGCTTCAATTCAGACATGGATGGAATGGATGATGGGGAGAGGGACAATCATGGGCGGATGGATGGAGCGACGGATGGGGGCATGCATGGGGATATGGATGTGGATATGGGTGATGGGGATTGTGATGGTGATGGTGATCGTGGCGCTGACGTGGAGGTTCCTGAGCTGGCGCTGCTGGACCAATGGGAGAGGAGGAAGAGGAGGAGGGAGCAACAGGAGGGTGGGTCAAAGGGGAGTAGTTTTGGAGGGGGAAGGGGCAAGAGGCGAGGGTACATTAGGGGAATAGGAGGAAGGGAGGAGGACGAAGAAGAAGAAGAGGAGGAGGAGGGGGATGGGTGGATCGAGCAGGAGTTGATGCGTTTTGGTGGTTACGACGATAACGACGGCGGTTGTTACGCCGTTACAGGCTCGAATATCACTGAAATGGCATCGGAAGGAGAGGCATACACTGCTGGTTTCTGGAATCTTTCTAGTGGAGAACCCTTTTCCCCCCAACTTCCCCCCCATCCTCCTCCAAGGCCTCTGCCCCTCAACCCTCCCTTCGTGCTAGACTGTACTTTAGAGGAAGCGTGGGAAGCAAGCAGAGAGGAGGCAAGCAGTGGGGTTCTGGCTGCGAGCCTGTGTAAGGCGTTTGGGAAGGGGGTGAAGGTGATGGCAGGGGGGAGAGAGCGAGGCAGGGGGGATGGGGAGGAGGATGGGGAGGAGGAGGAGGAAGAGGGGGAGGAGGAGGTGGAAGGGGAGGGAGAAGAGGAGGAGGATGGGGGAGGAGGGGGGAGAGGAGGAAGGAGGGTGGTGGAGGAGACGTTTGCTTGGAGAGTGTGGAAGAAGGGAGGAGGGGAGGGCGGAAGAATGGGTGGAGTGAGGGAGGCAATGGAGGGGAGTGGGGAGAGTGGCTGGATGGGAGGAGGAGGGGGAAGGAGAGAAGCAGGAGGGGGAGGAAAGGCTCCAAGATACGTTGTGCCATGGAAATATGGTGCGTGTCGGGACTTTTTCTCGAGTCATGTCTCTTGCCGTTTTGTGTGGCCCACTTGTTTCCGTCCCTCCCCTCTTGCTGTCCGTCCCTCTCCTTCCACCCACTCCCTCGCTTTGTTGCACCCTCTATTTTCTCCCTTCACACAGTTATGATTCGTCTCTCTGTCACCGTTTCTATCTTTCTGCATCCACCACCGTTTTCTATCTGCTCGTCCTCGATACCTCTCACCCCCCTTCCTTTCCCCTTTTCCCCCATCCCCCTGCACTTCTCTTTCTCCCTCATTTTTTTCCGTTCTCACACCGTCTCGTCTTTTTCTCTTATCCTCTCCATCCCTCCTTCCCTCCACTTCCCCCCACCCCCACAAAGCAGATCTTGACCCGCTCATCTGCCCCCTCATCCTCCCACCTCCTCCCTCCCCCTCCACCCCATTCCGCCTGCCTCCTCTCTCCCGTCGCTCCCTCGAGCTATCCCGGGAAGCGGCTTCTTTCCTCCTGCGCACACTGCAAGCCGACCCCCTCTGCATCCCGGCCTTAGTGCCACTAGTGCAGGTGAGCTTCTTCCTACCTCCCCCGCCACCCCATTCCGCCTGCCTCCTCTCTCTCGCCGCTCCCTTGCTCTCTCGCAAGGTAGCATCCTTCCTCCTGCACACACTGCAAGCCGACCCCCTCTGCATCCCAGCCTTAGTGCCTCTAGTGCAGGTAAGCTCCTCCTATGTCCCATTCTCCCCACCTACCCTACCACGCCGCACTCCGCCTCCCTCAAGCTCTCGGAGGACGTGTTTTGAGTCGAGTCTCCGGGGAAGCAGCATCCGCACACTGCAAGCCGATCCCCTTTGCATCCCATCCCTCGTGCCTCTAGTTCAGGTAAGCTTCTCCCTGAACCCCATCCCTCTCCTCCTCCACCCCACCCCATTCCGCCTGCCTCCTCTCTCCCGTTGCTCCCTCGAGCTCTTCCAAGAGTCTGCCTCCTTCCTCCTGCACACACTGCAAGCCGATCCCCTCTGCATCCCGGCTCTAGTGCCCCTCGTTCACCTGCATGCCTCTAGAGCAGATATGCCCCAACTGTACCCCATTTCCTGCCTTGCACTTATCCCTTCTTCTCCGTTTTTCCTTCCAACCCATTTCCTGCCTTGCAGATTCGTGTACCTCAGGGTTACAGAGGAGTGAGAGCGGCTCTTGACATCCTTCTCCTCTCCTGCATCCTCCTGATCTCACTTATCTTTCCCCTCCCCTCCTGTCTCCTCGCCCTCTTCTCTCACTCCCTCTCTGCAGATTCTCGTGGCCCAGGGCCCCAGAGGAGTGGGAGTGGCCCTTGACATTCTTCACCGCTCGTGCCTGCCTGCCCTGTCACTGATATCTCACTGTCTCTCGCCCCACTCCCTTGCTGCTGATTCTCGTATCCGTCCCTTTCTTTCTGACACAGATTCTTGCGGCCCAGGGCACCAGAGGAGTGAGAGTGGCTCTGGACATTCTGCACCGCTCGTGCCTGCCTGCTGTTGCACGCTCCATCCATCCATTCAGGTACTACTCAGGGCTTAGTCCTGCACTCAGGGCATGGTTTAGTGCAGAACTTATGGCTAAGTTGGTAACTTCAGTAACCTTTTTCAGTATTTCAAATGCCTAAATGACCACTTGTATTATTTTACCTTCCACATTAAAAATGAAATAAAAAAGGGTCGTATAGTATTTCTCACTCTTCTTCCTCCGTCCTCTCCCCCTGTCATGTAATTTTCTTCCCATATGCCTCTTTCCCTTCCCTCTGCCTTGCTGCTTTCCTTCCCGTGCGCTTATCCATCTTCCCCCTTCCTCCCTGCTCTCCGGATCCGCGCCTTGCTGCTTGAGTGCGTGCAGCTTCAGGACTCTCGAACTTCCACATGTGCATTCCACCCACTCCCTTCCCCTGCTCATTTGCTTTTTTTCCCTCCCATGTGCGTCTTCCCTTACCTCTTACTGTCTCTCTTTCCCTCCCTGCTCTCAGGATCCGCGCCTTGCTGCTACAGTGCGTCCAACTTCAGGAATCCCCCCTACCCCCATCCTCCTCTCACTCCCTCACTCACTCTCTCACTCACTCCCTCACTCTACTGCAATGTCATTTGGAGGTCCTTCGGCTGATGCCCTCCTGTGCCCATGCCATGCGAGGCGTGCTGTCTCTGGGTCTACAAGGTGAGAAGCAGGTGGAGGGAGTGAGGGAGGGAGTGAGGGAGGGAGTGAGAGAGAGAGTGAGGGAGGGAGTGGAGGGAGCGAGGGAGGGAGTGAAGGAGAGAGGGGGAGGGTAAGGTCCTTCGGCTGATGCCCTCCTGTGCCCATGCCATGCGAGGCGCGCTGTCTCTGGGGCTAGCAGGTGAGAAGCAGAAGTGGATGAGGGGGAAAGAGAGGGAGGAAGTGGGAGTGGGTGGGAGTGACGGATGCTTTGTAGCAGTTGTTTTCATCCTGTTCCCATGCCATGCGAGGCGTGCTGCCTCTGGGTCTAGCAGGTGATAAGAAGAGGAGTGAGAAGGAGAGTGGGAGAATGGTAGTGAGGGAGTGACAGAAATTAAAGGAGGGAGGGAGGGATGGAGTGAGGGAGGAAGTGGAAGGAGGAGGTGCTTTGGCTGATGCCCTCCTGTGTCCATGCCATGCCTCTCAGTCCATCCCCCTCCCACACCCATCCAACTCCCCTGTGCAGGCACATGTGGCCCGTCTCTCCGCATGGCCATTCTAGCACTGCATCTGAACGCGCTTGCTACCACCAGAGAGTCCCTGCCTGCTTGCCTGGTGGGGGGGGCTGGCTGGGAGGGATGGAGGGAGTCATTGCCACGCTCACATTCGTTCTCTCACCCCCGCCCCCGTCCCATTCCCCTGTGTGCAGGCACGTGCGGCCGTCTCTCTCCTCATGGCCATTCTAGCACTGCATGTGGACGCGCTTGCTGCCAGCAGCAGCACCAGAGTCCTTGATCTCGCCTGCCTGATGGGGCTGTTAGAATCACACCCGTTCACTCACACCCCTTCCCCTTCCACCCTATACAGGCACGTGCGGCCCCTCTCTCCTCATGAGCACGCTGGCAGTGCATCTGGACGCCCTCGGTGCCACCACCAGCAGTGCACTGTCTGCTTGGTGGGGACTGGCTGCTTGGTGGGGACTGGCAGGGATCATAAAGGCTGTGTGGCTCTCAGCCTTTGCTGGTGCGGCTGGGAGAGGGGCAGCAGTAGTGGCAGCTGTAGTAGGGGAGAGAGATGGGGGAAGGAGAGGGGAAGGTGCAGCGAGAAAAGAAGCAGCAGCGAAGGAAGCGAGGGCCAGGAAAGTGGTGCTGCAGGTGTGGTGGGAGAGGAGGGAGTGGTGGAAAGCGGTGCAGTTCGGCATCGGGCATGTGAAGAGGCAGTTGAGGCTCATTGATCGGCTGCAAGGTGGGTGATGGATGTGTGCAGTGTGAAAGGGATGGGCTCGGTATTGTGAGATGTAACATATGCACACTTGAATCAAGCAGTACGAATGGGAATTCTCTTATACTCTTGGAAAATAATCATTTTTCTTGCACACCTCCCTTTGACACCCGTGCAGAAAGTAGAAGCCACAGCCCTGCAAAGGAGCAGCTTCTAAAGAGGATGAAGGCACTGCTGACGTGGAAAGCCTCAGTTTCACTTCTTCTGTACAGCTCTCACAACAAGAACAGAAACAATAACAACAGTCATGAAAGCAACAGCAACACTGTCCATAACAGCAATAACTGTAACCCATATGCGGGCCACCGTAGAACAGGGCATGCGGAGCTGGCCAGCCTCGTGGCACGAGGAAGTCTATAAGGAGTACAAAGAGATTGCGATGGCCTTGCCTCCCATGCCTCTGTGGCAACCACTGGCAGCAGCTGGGTGGCAGAGGGTGGAACTGGGAGACACATTACTTCTGGACATGTGAGGGAAAGTGTAATGGGTGTACTGGTACCAGTAATACGGTAAGTGTTACCATTAATTAAGCGTACAGTTGTTGCAAAGAAATCGCCATGGCCTTGCCTCGTCCGTGTGGCAACCATTGAAAGCAGACATCGGGACTGGGTTTTAGGTGTGATCACAATATCACACCTTGTAATGTGACCAAAATGCTTTTAGGCAACTTATATTCTTCACTCGAAGAATGCAACATCGGGAACAGCTGCATTCGATGTGCAACCATCGTCTGAACTCCTCTTCTGACGCTCGAGCTTTGGTTGTGGTACAAAGCGTCTACGTCGCATTGGATATCGCAACCAATGAGGTTAAATCATTCCGTGATTCTGCTTGAAACTGGCCTCGTGAAACTGAATTTCAAATGCTGAATAATCCCTGCTCGTTCAATTCTTCATGAATTGTGCTGTGCTCAAGAGTTTCATCATGTTATGCAGATTTGACAATAAATGCTGGATAAGTCGAAAAACTCCTACGCGGGTGTGCTTCACACATAGACTACTCTTTCATATGTCGTATTTGCCCTGTGGGGAGCGCAGTCGCTAGTAGCTTAAGGGTCACCAGCCATATTGAAATCATTTCAGCGGTATTCCGGAATGTACTGTGAACATCAGTTTACACAATGGTGTAGGATACGATGTGGGGGTACGCTGGTAGCTTGAGGACTAACGAGCCGCGAACTTCTCGGATCGTGCAGGACCAGCCGTTAGCCTCATTGCCTAATTCGCCCGTTTGAATCTCTGTGCTGGTTTCCGCCGATCGGTGTCGGAGAATGCTTTTCAGAATTCTCATGAGGGTTTTTTAGCATTCCCAAAGGTCCGTGCGTACGTTCTCAGATTGATGGGACCCGCTGGTTGCAATATTGTTGGTGTGTCTTCTCAAATCGCTCTGAAATTTGTAGAAATACATTCTCCCACTAAGCAGACCTCCGACTCCTTTTGCTTTCCCTCGTGAGAAGAGAAGATCGATGGCGACTCAAAGCCAAAGAGGGGTTGACGACGCTGATGCTGGTGCTCCTGCACACGCTAGGGGTACGGGAGAGATGGGAGAAGAGGATTTCTTGAATGCCTCGATAGAGAGTGACTCGGTACTGCTGAGGAGGATGTGGCAGAACGAGAAAGCGGCGCCGGATATTCTTCCGTACGAAACCGAGCTGGTGGAGCGGACTAAAGCGAGGCTAGAAGAGCTGGTAAGTGTGGATATCCATGGATATTCTTGGAAACCATGGAGAGAAAGAGAGAGAGAGAGAGAGAGAGAGAGAGAGAGAGAGAGAGAGAGAGAGAGAGAGAGAGAGAGAGAGAGAGAGAGAGAGAGAGAGAGAGATGAGAGAGAGAGAGAGAGAGAGAGAGAGAGAGAGACGAGAGAGAGAGAGAGAGAGAGAGAGAGAGAGAGAGAGAGAGAGAGAGAGAGAGCTGCACATGATGGCAGGGACGTGGATAGGACTGAGCAAGTACCACCTCAGACATTGCGATACCATGTGTGTGTGCAATCATGCATCGTGCAGGAGGAGATGGTTGACGCGTTGAAGGGGGATGGACGCAAAGCCATGGAGAGGGAGCTTCACATGATGGACGTCGACAGAACCAAGTACCTGCTCAGAGCGTACCTTAGGTGTAGAATACAGAAGGTGAGTGTTGGGGGCGTAGTGGTGGGTGAGCTGGTACCTTCATTGGTGCTACTGTGGGAAAGGGAGGTGCATATGATATGATGCACGTCCACAGGACCAAGTATCTCCTCCGAGCATACCTGCGATGCCGGATACCGAAGGCGAGTGGTTGGGTGGGTGCTAGCGTAGCGGTGGCGAGTTGGTATCTTCATTGGTGGTGAGGATAAAGCCTACCACAGCCGGCTGTCAGATGGGGAGCAGCTGCATTTCCCACCTCGTCATTTACCTCGTTCGTTTGTGCTTCTCTCTCCCTCCTCTCTCCCACCTCCCATGCAGATCGACCGCTTCTTTTTGCACTTTGCTGGTGAGGAGAGCTACCACCGCTGGCTGTCAGATGGAGAGCAGCTGTATTTCACACCTCATTCAACTTTGTTGTTTCTGCTTCTCTCTCCCTCCTCCCTCCCACCTCCCATGCAGATCGACCGATGTTTTCTGCACTTTGCTGGTGAGGAGAGCTACCACCGCTGGCTGTCAGATGGAGAGCAGCTGCATTTCCCACCTCATTCAAGTCTGTTGTTTCTACTACTCTCTCCCTCCTCTCTCTCCCACCCCAAATGCAGATCGACCGCTTCTTTTCTGCACTTTGCTGGCGAGGAGAGCTACCACAGCCGGCTGTCAGATGGAGAGCAGCGTTACTGCGACAGGTACGTGTGCTTGAGTGTGTGTGCTTGCTTGATCTAGTTCTCTTCAACTTTTCGAGAATGCCTCAGCGGGGCTGACGTGGGGAACAGCGGCAATGTGACAGGTATGCGTGGTTGCTGCTGTGTGCTTTCTCTAGTGCTCTTTTCAAGAATGCCACGGCCGGGGCTAACGTGGGGAATAGCGGTACTGTGACAGGTACGCGTGCTTGCTTGCTTGTGTGTGCCCCATCTATTGCTCTGAGAAGCTGTGAGAGGCGATCTCCATTGCTCTCACAAGAAACGAGTTTTTGAGACGATTGAGAAGTCCTCTGATGATCACTTGAGAGCGAAACAGGTGAAGGTGGACAGATGGGCTGTGAAGGCCCTATTTTCCATTCCATTAACTCAATAGGTAAGCACTCCTGGGCATTGAAACGAACCACTTGATTCACATGGGAAGGCTGGTCTGGTCTGGTTGGATGAGGGCGCGTGCGTTTTTCAACAGCCAGCTTGAGAATCAATGAACTAGTTTCTGTTCGTACATGTCTGTAAATTTGTGACGAGTACGTGTGTGGTTATTAGCGTAGCAAGAGTGTGTGCTTGCTCTTGTGCTCTGGTATACAAAACTGTCAGTGTTGTCGTGCTTTCCCTGTTTTTTTTTTTTTTTTTTTTTTTTTTCATAGATGTATTGCAACCCATTATCACCCACCCCTCCTGCTCCGCCTCCCCTTCCTGTTTCCTGCAGGCAGGTAGATCTGATTCAGGCGCACCTGGTCAGGGCCGTGCTTGCTCTTGAGGTTCCTCAAACGTCCTCCCCCTCTTCTTCCCCTTAATGATCTGGTGCTTTTAGAATGACCAATTCTTGCTCCAGGAAGGTAGATTGTGTGTAGGCGCATCTGGACAGGACTCCGCTCTCAAATCTACCTCTTTTTTCCCCCCCTCCTCTTCCCGCTCACCTGGTTCCTGTTCAGGCAGGTAGACCTGGTGCAGGCGCATCTGGACAGGACTGGCGCTCACCCCGATCACCCTCTCTACACATCTTCCCTCTCTACCATCTTCCCTCTCTACCATCTTCCCTCTCTACCATCTTCCCTCTCTACATCTCCCTCTCTACCATCTTCCCTCTCTACCATCTTCCCTCTCTACCATCTTCCCTCTCTACCATCTTCCTCTCTACCATCTTTCCTCTCTACCATCTTCCCTCTCTACCATCTTCCCTCTCTACCATCTTCCCTCTCTACCATCTTCTTTCTTCTCTCCAGGCAGGTAGATCTGGTGCAGGCGTGCCTGGACAAGACCGTGTTTCTCGCTTAACTCTCGATCGCCATCTTCTCCCTGTGTCCTCCAGGCAGGTAGATCTGGTGCAGGCGCATCTGGACAGGACTGCGCTCACGCGCCTGCCACGCCGCTACCAGTCCATCCTGAAGCAGGCGGACTCGAGCGAAACACCAGATATGAGTGAGTGCTACAATCACAGATGAAGGGTTGATGGATGAAGGGTTTCAGAGTTTGTGAGTGAGCGCTGGATGCAAGGGTTCCTCTGTACTCCCTCGCCTGCCCTGCTACCAGTCCATTCTCAAGCAGGCGTACTGCAGTGAAGCCCCTGAGATGAGTGAGTGGTAGAATCACAGGGCTGTGATTAGGGGCTCATGGACGGAGGGTTAAGAGCTTGTGTGTGAGAGAGCTGGACTTACGGGTTCTGCTGCACTCTTGCGCTTGCCACGCTGCTGAAGCAAGCTGTCTCCCGAGAAGCCCCTGATATGAGTGAGTACTAGAATCACAAATTAAGGGTTCATGGATGGAGGGTTAAGAGCTTGTGTGTGAGTGAGCTGGACTTTGGGCCTCTGCTGTGCTCTCGTGCTTGCCACGGCGCTACAGGTCAAATTTCAAGCAGGCAGATCTCGTGTTGTAGAGTTTGAGGGTTTGAGAATTCATGAATGAATGCTGGACTCAGGGTTTCATGGTCTGCACGCTGAAACAGGCGGATTTCAGCTATGCCATGAGTATGAGTAAGTGTTGTTTTGAGTCGACTCAAAACAAGACTCAGGGTTTCATGGTCTGCTTGGTGAAACAGGCACATTTCTGCTATGCCATGAGTATGAGTAAGTTGAGGCTCAGGATTCACCCATCCGTACCAGTCACCTAGAATGTGAATGAGTTATGCAGTTTTCACTTATATGAAAGCTCATTTCCTAGCTTCCAGATTACAAGTGCCTTTGGACTACCCCTGTTTTTCATATTGATAGACCCGGATCTTTTAAGCCAACTTACCCATGTCATTTCCACTGAATACCCTTATTTGGCAGTCCCCACTCCCGACCTCGACACATCTGTGTTCTGTGTAGCCACTCGTCCTCTGCCGTCTGTTCAGCTGGCCGAGCTACCCTTGATTTCCAAACCACACTACCGTCTCTTCCCAACCGATTAATCCCTCTTTGGCAGTTCCCACTCCCGACCTTGACACTTTCGTGTTCTGTGTGGCCACTCACTCGCCCCCTGCCGTCTGTCAGCTGTCCAAACCCTTGATTTCCAAACCACATTACCCATCTCTTTCTAACTGGATGACCCCCTCCTCTGCAGTCCCCACTCCCGACCTTGACACTTTTGTGTTCTGTGTGGCCACTCGCCCTCTGCCGTCTGTCCAGCTGTCCAAACCACCCTTGATATCCAAACCACATTACCCATCTCTTTCTAACTGGATGACCCCCTCCTCTGCAGTCCCCACTCCCGACCTCGACACTTTTGTGTTCTGTGTGGCCACTCGCCCTCTGCCGTCTGTCCAGCTGGACCCCGAGTGAGTAATACAGAGGTTTAACAGGTTGTGACTTATAACGGCTGTGTTTGGTTCACATCTTGTGTTCTGTGTGGCCACTCGCCCTCTGCTGTCTGTTCAGCTGGACCCAGAGTGAGTGCAACCAGGGGTAACAGGTTGTGACTTATTACCGCTGGGACATTAGTGTTCTGTTCACGTCTTGTGTTCTGAGTGGCCACCAGTCCCCTACCATCTGTTGAGCTGGACCCAGTGAGTATTACTGAGGAGTAACTGGTTCAATAGATCAAACAGCTTTTGAGAATTTTCGGAATCGAATAACAGGGAAGGCAGGCAAAACATCACGCATTTGAGCCGTTGATATGTTTGCATGTTCTGTGCCTCCACACGCCTTCTTCTGTCTGTAGAGATTGATCCCCAGTGAGTTATATAGGTTGAAAAATGGATTCTAGGATGCAAGGTGGAGTATTCGGGTTCTCAGAGAAGAGAGGAAAATAAGCTGAACTTCTCATATCCCGAGTTCCTTTTGAGGTGTGACATCTATTTCATGTTCCGTTTGAACAAGAGGCTTTCGTATTCATGTATCTTTCAACCCTGTTATCTGTTCTTCCCTCTGCCCCCCCCCCCCCCCCCCCCCCCCCTAGCTTTTCTTTCCTGAAACTCACACTCTGTTCTTCCAAACCTCTTCCAAACCTCCAGGCTTGATGATGTCATCGGCATGGCGCCTGGAGAGCTCCACATTCTGCGATATAGGCCGATCCAAACACTTGTACAGTCGGGTGATATTATTCTTCTGTGAGAGACGGTATATCATTTCTTTGAAATGGTTGAGCCTAATGATTGCACATGCGTGAAGTTCTGAATGTATTCCTGATTTACAGATAACGATTCACTTGATGGTTCGGTGGCGAAAGCTACTGAGCGACACATGCGTGTCGAAATAAAGGTTTTGTTACGGGTGCAATGAATCGAGGTAGCGAGGATTGCACTAAGGTGTCAAACGAGTACAAAATGTGAGCGAAGGCATGAGCGAACATTTATACGCGAAACATGCAAACGGTAACGCGGTGCGTGCGAGCTAGCTGGTGCTACGCTGGCAGCGAGGCTCGGGCTAGTCCCGAAGCGTAGGCCGACACGGCCGGGCGGGCCAGCAGTGCGAGGTTTGGTGAAACAGTGCGCGCGAAGTCGGTGAAGCCCCGTTAGCAGTAACGGGCGAACAGCGGCTGCGGCTGTACGCGATGTTGCAGGGCGCGCTAAGGAATGTCGAGAAAATTCCTTACAGGTTTTTAGAAGTGCAGGATTTTAGTGTAAGAAATCGCATCCAATGGTTGATGTAAGGAAATTCCCTTTTCCTTACTTCGCGTCCCTGCCCAGCGCGTACGTCACTGTAGCACCTCAGTCAGCACCGTTACCACTCGCGACCATCGCATCATTCATCATCCCGCCCTTTTTCGCACATCGCATCCCGACCTCACGGCTCGGCTGGTAACCCGCGCTCCGGGCCTACGCTTCGACACTTTCCCAACCTCAGTCCCAGGCTCGACGCGCGACAACCACAGTCCATTACCGTTACCACTATTGTTTCGCTATATAATCCTTCGCTCATGCCTTCACTCATTGTACTTTTGCTTCGATAGTGCAATTCTCGTTCGTTCACTCAATTGCACTCGTAACACTTGGTATTCAGAGCCTACGATCTCATCTCGGACCGCATCCACACCTTCGCTTCCCACTATCTCAATTTTGGGGGGGGTAGACGTCTCTCAGCGACACAGCACCGCCGCTCGTAGTGCTCTCTCGCAAGCACGCACGGCCACGACCGAGGCTCTCGCTGAGCTTGCCCGACACCCCCGCCATGGCCGACCTCAATCTCGCCACGTTGACGCAGGAGCAACTCGATCGTCTCGTGCGACAATTGGAGGATTCGGTGCTTGAAATCGCGACGCTCACGGCGGAACGTGACTCCGCCCGTCAACAGTCAACGGTGAATGCTCCGACAACATCCCACGCACCAACCAATGTCTCTGTACATTCGGAGGAGCCGATTATCATTTCATCCGGCACACCAACGCAACACAACAGCACGGGACAGCGCTCAGGCGCAGCCAGTGACGGCGCAGCCCAACCGATGCCCGGCATGGGAGGGAACAGGAGCACGCTAAGCCCACGGGAGCCCCGAGAAGCCCGTCGGCACGTGGAGTTTGCGACGACAAGTGGTGAAAACGCCATGATGGCCCCAATGCCACTCAAGCCGCAACGCCCGCCCTGCTTCGACCCAAGCCAACGCGGCGGCCCGACAGTTCAATCGTGGGTCTTCACGATGAATGTGTTTTTCGACGCCAACTACGTCGAGTCGGACGCCGCCAAGATTCGGTATGCGGTTTCACTACTCAGGGGCCCCGCCATGGACTGGTGGCGAGTCATCGTGACGTCGCCACGCGCCTACGAGCCACCGTCGCACGAGGAAGGGCCCTCGGGTCCAGCTGTCACCTGGAGTTCGTTCTGCGAAACAGCCCAATACAGCACGTGGGATGCGTGGTGCGCAGGGCTTCGGGCGCGTTTTGAGCCGATCGCGGCTTCGATTTCGGCGCGTCAGAAACTGCGCACTTGGCGCCAGCTCGGGTCGGTTCAAGACTACACCAGCGGTTTTCTCGCACTTTGCGAACAGGTCGGCTACATGCACGAGGCGGAGCGGGTGGACCGTTACGTCGGAGGTCTGAAGCCGGATATATCGCACGAGATAATGCTACGCGGGCTATCAAATTTCAACGAAATCCTCGCGCTCGCCGAGAAAATCGATATCCTACGCCGACCGAGACCGGGGTCCTATTTCGGACATCGCCCTCGGGGACCGATCGAGCACGCCACTGTACATGCCGTCGCAACGAATGCAGCTGCCACGCCATTTAGAGGGCGCTGCTTTGCTTGCAACCGGCCGGGCCATCGCAAGAGCGAATGTCCAGAGGAGCTGAGGCGTCGAGGAGCAGAGCAGGGGAAGGAGTCTCAGAGGCAGGGAAACGCCAGCAGTCAGTAGAAGTTGGGCCAACTACTGACGAGACTGCCTGCTCGCCCAACCACACCGACCCTCACCGAGTCACAGTACCGATTCACGCCATCGATCGGGCTCGGATGAATAAGGAGGGTACAGCGACGGATTGCCCGGTACTGATCTACGGGAAAATACAGGGAGCAGCAGTGAAAATCTTCATTGATGGAGGAGCAAGTCACAGCTTAGTTAATACTGCAACCGCACGGAAATTACAGTTAACACTTACCCGATGTTTACCTGAGATAGATGCACGCTTAGTCGACGGCACGCCATTGGCCATACGAGAAAAAGTGGAGCGAGTAAAAGTCCGCTGCGGGGGAAACTTCGGTTTACACAGGAAATGCTCGCAACGACGCTGGATGGGCACGACATTTTACTGGGACGTGATTGGCTGCGACGGTACAGCCCACGGATCGACTGGACGACGGGGAGCTGCACAGTGCGAAGTAGCGGTAACTGGGTCGTCCTACCTCGCTGGCGGCCACCCGAATCTTCGACAGTCCAGGTCAACGCCATCGCGATGAAACGGGCTGTCGCTGCTGGAGCTGACGTGTACGCAGTGGATATCGCAGTAGTAGAAAAAGACGAGCAGCAGAATGATTTACAGAAACTGCTAGCAGCCGTACCGACCGAATTACAGGCACTACTGAAACGGTTCCCGGGGATATTTCCGGATGATTTACCACAGGGACTGCCACCTCAGCGAGCGCACGACCATAGGATCGAGCTAGAACCGGGGGCACAGGCAACAGTACAGCGGCAATTTCGACTGACACAGCCCGAGCTCGACGAGTTAAGGAAGCAGTTAGATTACCTGTTAGAGAAGCAGTTTATTCGACCGAGCTCGTCACCGTTCGCCGCACCCATACTGTTCACACCGAAAAAAGACGGAGGTTTTCGCATGTGCATCGACTACCGAGCGCTTAACCGAGTAACAGTCAAATCGCGATACCCCATCCCACGCGCCGACGAAATGATTGACCAACTGCGAACAGCACGTGTCTTTTCGAAAATAGATTTACGGTGAGGTTACCATCAGATTCGCGTCGAACCATCGGACTGTGCAAAAACAGCATTTAGGACTAGGTACGGGTCATTCGAGTATACAGTAATGCCCTTCGGGTTGACGAACGCGCCTGCGACTTTTCAGATGACCATGAACGAGGCATTTAGGCCACTTTTAGATAAATGCGTGATCGTTTACCTCGACGATATCCTCGTTTACAGTCGGGATAAGAGCAGCACACTTAGCAGATCTTGAAGCAGTTTTTAAGGTTTTAGAGGAACATCGGCTGCTCACCAAGGGCTCCAAGTGCGAGTTTTTTAAGGATAGGCTAGAGTTTTTAGGTCACGTCATTTCAGAGGCTGGGGTTGAGATTGAACCAAAGAAGCTGGACACAGTAAAAGCGTGGCGCCCCCTGACGAACATCACGGAACTGCAGAGTTTTTTAGGGTTTGTTAATTACGTTCGACGGTTCGTGCCCGACATGGCACGTTTAACAGCCCACTAACTGATTTACTGCGTAAGGGGGTCGCTTTTACGTGGGGGGAGAAAGAGCATGCTGCCTTCTCTGCCCTAAAAAACGTTCTCTGCTCACCACCCGTCCTACGCATCGCTGATCCCCACCGCCCTTTCGAAGTGGTTACCGACGCAAGTGACATCGCCATCGGAGCTGTATAGTTACAGGACTTCGGCAACGGCCTCCAACCCATCGCCTACGAATCACGAAAACTACATCCGCCTGAGCGAAATTACCCGATACACGACCGCGAAATGCTCGCGATCGTGCATGCATTCAAAGTTTGGCGCTGCTACTTGACTGGCGCAGACGTGACAGTACGGACAGACCACCGATCTCTACAGTACCTCCGCGCACAGCCCACCTCAACCCACGACAGATTCGATGGCTCGATTTCCTCGAGTCGAATTTTCACTATACGGTCACATACAAAAAAGGAGCATCGAATATCGCCGACGC